TTCTTCTTCCCGCGGCGGGGCCGACCGCGCCACACGCTCTGGGAGCGTTCAGATCCCTGAGCCGCCCGCCCCGTCCTTGTCTTCCTTCGGGCGCGTCCTTCCTCCCTCCCCCTCCTGGCACGGTGGCACGGTTCGCTCCAGCGGCATCCCCGTTTGAGCCCCCTCATCGCCAGCGCAGTCGCCCTCTGCCTGGCCGCCGGCGCAAAGAAAAGGTATATCCTCCCTCTTCCCTTCAGTCGGGCCTGTCCCTCTACAGGGGTGATCTCCAGAAATAGTGACAGAATGGTCTGGAGACGATTCTTCGAGCATTTTGTGACTCTCTCGGAGTTTTTTTGTTGTTGGAATATTTTTGATGTTCCGTCCAGAATCCGCCCTCAGGGGGACCTGCCCGACCTCGGGTAGAGGGAAACAATTACCTAACACCCCCCCTCCCCCCCAAACTCAATGCTGGCACGCGCGGGAGAGACTGCGGTCGAAGTGCATCTCATCAGACCCACCGCCAACTTTGAACATCGGGGGGAGGCGGGGGCGTTGACGGATGAATGTGGCACGTGTCTCGTCCAGCATCCGCCTGCAGGGGGACCTGCCCGACCCGACTCTTCCCTTGCGCCCTGGCATCGCTCGGACGTGTGCGTGGTTTCTTTCGGCGAGGACCCTCGAGGAGCATCCGTGATCATCTGGCGACAAAGCCACGCACGGAGCCGAACAAAATAGCCCAGGGAATGGACGTCCGAGCGATGGCGAGCCGCGCCCCCCGGGCCAGGTCTGCCAGAGGCGTCCCCGGGGAGGCCGCACGCCGCCCGGCCGAGGCGGGCGCCCCGCCGCGCGCTCTCCGCGGCCGCGGGGGGGCCGCCCCCGGCCGTCGCGCGATCGCCGGGGATCGGGAGGGAAAAAACACACAGACACAGTGAACCGTCGATTCCCAAGAAAATATGGGAAAATATGGGAAGTGGGGGGGACGACAAAAGCCCAGAAAATGTATGGGGAAGTATGGGGAATCTATTATTTGTGTGTCCCAGGGCCCTTTCGGGGGAGCCCGCGCTGCACGGGGAGCACTGGCCGGGCCAGGGAGTACTCTGCTCGCCTCCAGAGGGCCCTGTCAAGCAGCGGCGAAGCGTCCTGGCTCGCCTATGGCCCCACTGAACAATGCTCTGAGAACCTTTTTTGTGGCTTCCACGAGGTGTTCTTAGAACGTTTCTGGTTGAGATTGTCTTGTTTTAACACAGCACATGGGTTTTTTGTTCTAAGAACATTGTTTGTGTTCTCAGAACATTTTTTGGGTTCTAAGAGCATTTCGTGGTAGGACTATAGGAATGCCGGGACGGTCGGCCTTGCTCAACCCTGGGTTTCTTGGGTTTCGATGCTTTGGCTATGGAAGGCGTGGCGCTCCCACGCCAAAGGTCGGTGGACGTCCTGGGGTCTCCGGGTTGGGGGACGTCCCGTGGAGGGTTTTCTTGTGGTCGAGCCCCTGCTGCAGCAGAAGCGTCGCTGTCAGTCATTCGTGGATCGAGTGGTCGGTCGATCTGAGCCCGCATTCCCCAAGGGTTCAGTCGGACATGTCCCTCTGCAGGCGGAGAATTCCCAGACTAGTCCAAAACAGCCCGGGGACGATTTTTCGTTGTTTCTTTGGGTATTTTCTTGCGAGTATGTTTTGACATTTTTCACGTTCCCTTCCAACATCAGCCCGTAGGAGGACATGCCCGACCTGACCCAGGAGGGGGGGGGTCCTTGTGTGGGGCGCCGCGGGGCCCCTGCGTGCCCGAGAGGCGAATGGGGCGTCCCTCCTGTCCCCAGTCGAGGGTGCCCTCCACCCGCGTTTGTGAGGGCGCCTTTGCGCTGTCAGCGTTGACCCGAGGATTTTTGTGGCGGCCAACCGTGTTGCCAGAGTGTCCCGCCGCAGGGGTCGTTCGGCCGTTCGCGCCAAGGAGGCCCAGCTCCGCAGCGGAAGACGCGTCGGCGCGCAAGCACCCGTTAAGTTTGTCCCCCCGCGCGCCCCGCGGGGGAGGGGGGGGCTCCTCTGCGGCCTGGGGCCCCGCTTCCCGCTGATTTCGTTCGGGGGCGGCCACGGGGGGGGTGACGACCACTCCGAGTTTCTTGATAAGCGTCGGGGGGGCGTCACCGCCGCCGACAGTCCCACATTGACCACCGTCGCAGGCAGCCACCGCGCGCCGAAACCGCTGCGACCCCCGTCGCGGCGCGACGAGGAGGCGATGTGGACCCCCGTCGGGGGGGTACCGCCCCACGCTCATGAAGAAACCCAGAGTACAGCGGGGGCCCATGCCAAGAAGCACCCTGCTTGCCTCCAGGGTGCACTGGGTTCCTTGGGTTTCGATGGTTTTGTTGTGGAAGGCGTGACGTTCCCGCACCACAAGTCAGTGGACGTCGTGGGGTCTCAGGATTGGGTTTCTCGTGGAAGGTTTCTTGTGGACGGGCCTCCACTGCAGGGGGGGTGGATATCATGGCCTGGGCCACGACATCTCCCCAGGCTTCATGGCGCCTCGTCTTATTTCAAGATACATCCCCAGACCCCCCGGGCCGCGCACGTGCCGCTAGCCATGATTTGCGCCCCCTCCCTCTTAGACGCCCCCCTGTTGGCCGCCCCTGAAGTGCATGCATCCCGTCGGAAGCACAGCAGATGATATGTTCTACCCCATCTAAGAGGCCTCTACATATGAGGGCAGCCCCGCTCTCCTTGTCAAATCCCGACGCAAGATCCAGGTTTTGCCGCAGAGTGCACCTTTGTATGGCTTTTGGTGAAGGGTCGTGAGCCTGCACAGGGCAGCCAAGGAGGCCCCCCCTCCCTGCCGCCCCTCTGGGCAAGAGCCAGTGCAAGACGATCGCGGGGCGCCCGCGCATGGACCAGCTTTTGCCACACAGTGTGCTTTTCGTCGTGTGTCGGCAAGGATGGAGGAGGAGGAGGAGGAGGAGGAGGAGGAGGAGGAGGAGGAGGAGGAGGAGGAGGAGGAGGAGGAGGAGGAGGAGGAGGAGGATGATTGAAGAGTGGGCCTGCGCAGCGCGGGCATCTTGAGGGCACCGCGCCAACCGCTGCAGCGTACGAGCGGGGCGCCCGCGCACAACCCAGATTTTTTTGGCCGCAGCATGTGCTTGGCGTGGTGTTTTGACAGGGGTAGTAGGCCTGCACAGAGCGGACAATACGAGGACTGCCCCGCTGCCCCTGTCAGAAACCAATGAACATCAGCATCGTTTAACCGATCCCTATCCCCATCCCCATGCACATCTCGAGCCCAACCGTCTCACCATCTCAGTTGGGCATATGCCCCGCGAAACCTGAAGAGAGCAGCCTCTGTCCCCATCCAGGGGGGTGAATCGGCCAGTGGGGCCCACCCCACGCTGGTGGGGATGGGGATCGCTTAGACAATGCTTAGCAAAGTTATCGCGGGGCGTCCGCGCATGATCCAGAGTTTGGTGCAAGGTGCACTTGTATCGGTTGTTGCAAGGGTCGGTGGGGGGGCCCTTATTGGCCCAGGTTTGTCGCTGGCCGGGTGGGGGAGTGGGTGTATATTGTTTCGTAAGGAGAACTGAACCACCTACGCTCTAAAGTGTGGTGGGACACACAATGCGACCACCACGACGCCGACGACGACGGAGACGAGGCGCGCTTACGATGCGCGCTTGCGATCCAGTCCATTCTGTGTTTCCGTGGATTGCCGCGTGCCTCAGGCCATTGTTCAAGCGGTGGGCGGGCACGCGCCAAACTACACCATCTATGGCACCCAGCACCACAACTATCCGACGAAGGACAAGGCTGGCTCCTCCTGGCGTGCTGGATGCCTCTGTCCTCCTCCTTGTCCTCCCCTTCTTCGTCCTCGTCCTTCTGCCCCGCCTTCTCGTCGTCCTCCCCTTCTTCCCCTCCCTCGTCGGACTGCCAAGATTTTCCTGATCATGCCATTCTCAGAGCTCACGTGCAGGAGTACGGGCCACAAGATGCAGAAAGAAGACATGAGATGATGCCGCCTATGAATTATGTTCTTGTTCAGTATCCAGTGATCTGGTTCCATTGCCGGGCCACTTTCTGTTTGCCCTTGCGCGGCCGTGGTGTCGCCAGTTGGTCTTTGTTGCGGTCATTCGATTTCCTGCGCGAGCTCGGTGTGGTCGTTGGTTCTTGTGTGTGTGGCAGCGTGGGCTATCCAGCTGCCAGCGGCGAGTCCCGCCTCCGTGCCAGGCCAGCATTCTGGGTGACGACTGTTCGAGGGGTGATGGGAGGCCGTCACGTGTGATACCTCGTGTCTCCAGACTTGGGAGAGCCATGATGATGAGGATGATGATGACGACAACGACGACGATGTCGACGACGATGATGATGATGATGATGGCGATGACGATGACGATCTTGGGGGCTTCTCAGGCCATCTTGGGGCACACTCCGCCCGTCTTGGGGGGCTTTTGGGTCCGTCTTGGGGCTATCTTGGAAACCTTGGGGGCTGTCTTCGGATGTCGGCAGCCCGAATGGGCGACAGTGATTTCGGCATCCTGGTTGTCTTCATGGAGCCCTCTTGGAGCGTCTTGGGGGCCTCTTGGGCCGTCAGGAGGGCATCGTGGACTAGGAGGCCATCTTGGCTGTCTTGGAGGCGTCTTGGGCAGTCTTGAGGGCCGTCTTAAACTGCCTTGAGCTGCTGTGGAGGCCATCCTGAAGCCATCTTGAGCGGATAAGCCGTTGGGAGACGAATTTGGGAATTTCCCAACTGGCTGGCGGGATGAGCCGAAGGCCACTGGGAACCGTTTGGAAGGGTTCAACAGAGAAACACCTTTGGCACGCCAGTCATCTCTGATAAACTCAGAGGCGCCAGATCGAAGATGCCTCCGGCGAATCACCGCCGCCCCCTGCCTTTTTGGAAGACCGTCTTGGAGGCCATCTTGGGCGTGTTGGAGGCCTCTTGGGCCTTGGGGCCCTCTTTGGGCCGTCTTGGAGGCCACTTGGGCCGTCATGGGGCCCTCTTTGGGGCCTCTTGGGCGATCTTGGGGGCCTCTTGGGCCGTCTTGAGCCGTCGGAATGCCGAGAAGAAGCAAATGCCAAAACCCTTCAACAACTTTGGGGAAATCCATGATTTTGGCCTCTTCAGGCCCTCCTGGAGGACCTCTTGGAGGCCTCTTGGGTCGTCTTGGGCCGTCTTGGAGGCTTCTCGGGCGACCTTGGAGGTATCTTGGACTCTCTTGGGCCGTCTTGGAGGCCGTCTTGGACCATCTTGGGCGGACTTGGAGGCCATCTTGGACCATCTTTGAGGCCATCTTGGGCCAACGTGGCCATCGTTGAGGCCATCTTGAACCATCTTGGAGGATTTTTTCCGGATTGAGCTCCTTGAGATCCTCTCCGGGTGGCCGGCGGGACGGGCTGAAGCCCCAGGGGGAGTTCTTTTGGAAAAAGAACCAAAACCAAAAGCGATAGGATTTGGCACGCCAGGCACCCCCTTGGATAAATCAAAAGGGGGCGGCGGATTTCGTGGCCTTCGGCCCATGCCGCCACCGTGCCTGGGTTGTGGATCAGATGCTTCCTGGGTACTTAGGGCCTTTTGGGATACCTATCACTGGTAGCATCACAGTGCGTCATATAAGCACGTAGCACAGCATACAACACCAGCGCATAGAAGACACGCCATTGTGCTTTGTCTTACGGGGCTCGTTGGTCCTTTGAGTTCTTGGAAAGCGCAATGTACTTCTGGAAGTCTTCGCAATTTGCAGACATCTCGCGAAAACGCCCAGGACTTCCGAGTCCCTTTGACGACATGTCGCCTCTCCTCCTCTTGTCCCTCTCCCCCCTCGTTCTCGTGAGTCCCCAGGATCACCAGACCTCTTTGGAACGCCCGAAGCTCCGCAGATCCCTGGTGGTCGAGCTCGGGCTCGGCGCCTCCGGCGGCAGCCGGGCGGCGCCCCCGCCCGCCCCGCGCCGCCCGGACGGCCTTCGCCTCCTGGCGCGGGCAGCGGCGGAGACGGTGGGCTCCCAACTTCGCGCTTCGCGCTGCGCGAAGCGCGAATAACTTCGCGCTCTCGCGCCGCCCTCCCAAAGGGAGAATAGGAGGACGAGGAGGAGGGGGAGAAGGAACGAGGACCGCGAAGCGCGAAGCGCGAATAACTTCGCGCCCTCGAGGGAGCCCTTGGGCCCGCGGGGGCGGCGCCCGCGGGGGCGGCGGCGGGGCTCGGCGGCGGCGGCAGGGCCCGCGCGGCGGCGCCGCTCGCGGCCCGCCCCCGAGCGGCTCGGGCGTGGCGACGAGCCCGCAGTCGGAGCGGACACCCCTCCGAGGCTCCGCCGCCGCCCCCGTCCCCCAACGGCGAGAGAGAGAGAGAGAGAGAGAGAGCGACGGGGCCGCGCGCCGCCCGTCCGCCGAGCCGCGCCGCAAGGCTGCCGTGGCCTCGGTGCCCGAGCGGGCGGAGTGGGCCCGCCAGCCCAGGCACAGGACGCGGACCGAGCTCCTCGAGGCGAGCCGTTCTCCTGCAGGGGCAGCGAGGAGGAGGAGGAGGCGGAGGAGGAGGAGGAGGAGGAGGAGGAGGAGGAGGAGGAGGAGGAGGAGGGGGAGGAGGAGGAGGAGGAGGAGGCGGAGGAGGCGGAGGAGGAGGTGGATGGGGGAGGAGGAGGAGGACCAGTGTAAACCCAAGAGTCATCAACGATGTTGAAATAAGCCCACCCTCCAAGCTCCCTCATCATAGGCCCCTACAACGGTTCACTTCCATGCCTCGTTGGAAGACAACCGTTTGAAGACCCTGAAGCATGCTTAAACATTGCTCTGGGGATTCCAACGCCACCGACCAACCTGACTATTGCGTGTTGGCGATCCTGAATCGTGCTAGAATGTCATTCCTGGGACTTCAACCCCGCGAATCAACGTAACTGTTGTGCCCGCGTAATCCTGAATCCTTTCAGAACACCATTTCTGGTACGTTGATGATGGGAATCCGTGCAACTCTTCCAACTTTTGTAAATGAATGTGCGCGGCGCTGAGGCGAGAGCCACATTTTGAAAAGGAGCCGCCCTCAATCCGCGAGTCGCTTGCACATTTTTCAAACGAGCGTGCGCCGCGCTAAGTCGAGAGCCACATTTTGAAAACGACCCGCCCCCAGTCCGTGAAACTCGTGCAAATTTTGAAACGAATGTGCGCCGCGCTAAGGCGAGAGCCACATTTTGAAAACGACCCGCCCTCCACCTGTGAAAGTGTTGCCAATGCTTAAGCTTCAGAGTCCTACATGGTGAGGAAGTCTCAGGCGAAACGTTTGGCCCGCCCTGAAAACTGGCTTCGGGGTGCGGCAGGGAGAGGTTGATTAAAGGAAAAGGTATGGAGGAGGGTGGAGGACGAGGAGGAGGAGGAGAAGGAGGAGGAGGAGGAGGAGAAGGAGGAGGATGCAAGGTTAGGGGGGATAGGCTCATGGGGGTATGCACGCTCAGGGGCAACGTTAGGGGGGGGGATGTGCGTCCAGGGTCCTCTCGACTGCTCTGCTCCGTCTGGGGGCAACTTCGGGGGGGGATCGGCTCAGGGAGGGATGCGTCGACCTCGAATCACCCACTCGTCGGCGAGAGGAGCCCGATGGCCCACCCCCGCCCAGGAACGTGCGGTTTCGCAAGCGGGGGCCTACTTTATTAGTGATTTCAATTGGTTTTAGGGTTTGAACAAATGGTCGCAGCCACGCAGAGGGCGTGCGTAGCGACGCCCTAAATGCTCGGTCTCCAGTACTTCTACGTGGCGGCGCCCCCGCAGGCACGCACAGGGCACGCGTGGCGACGGGGGCGTCGCCACGCAGAGCTTCTAAAGATCAAACATTTTGAAAACCAATTGTTTCCACTACTAAAGTATCGCCGATCCATCGCCGATGCATCGGCGGTTCCAGCTCGATGTTTAACCCCCCTGAGCCAGTGAGGTGAGAGCCCCCATGCGCTGGATCAGCATCTGCTGCCTGGTCGTCAGTGCCCTGGCTGAAGACGGCGTCGGCGACGGCAGGGTGATGCGCCGGAAGCAGGAGAGGTTCTCAGCAGAGGGGAAGGCGGTGGCAGTGTGGATCAGGCCCTGGCGGCTGGTCGTCGGGGTCCAGGGGCTCTACAGCGGACGGCCCATAATAGGGCGAGGCCCCTCCCCGGTTGCTCAATGGCAAGCGGCTGTGTAGGATGAGGCGGGGGAGGACGGCAGTGAGGAGTGGATGGGGCGGGCAGACTAGGAGAGGGAGAGGGGGGGAGTGAGGAAGTTGAGGAAGATGATGATGATGATGATGATGATGATGATGATGATGATGATGATGATGATGATGATGATGATGATGATGATGATGATGATGATGATGATGATGATGATGATGATGATGATGATGATGAGGATGAGGATGAGGATGAGGATGAGGATGAGGATGAGGACGAGGACGAGGACGAGGACGAGGATGATGATGATGATGCTGATGATGATGATGTTGATGATGTTGATGATGATGATGATGCTGATGATGATGCTGCTGACGCTGCTGCTGATTATGCTGATGATGATGCTGCTGATTATGATGATGATGGTGATGATGATGTTGATGATGCTGTTGATGATGATGCTGCTGCTGAATCTTCTGATGATGATGCTGCTGACGCTGCTGCTGATGATGATGATGATGATGAGGAGCGCGATCAGGAGATGGGATCAACTTAAGGATACGTTTCTGTGGGGTTTGGGGCGGGAGTGTGGAGGCAGAGGACGATGATCATAATGAGTGGTTGGGTGGATATATTGGTGTTTGTGGGGGGCGGACAGGGAAGTTAGACGGATGAGGGGTCGAGGTAGATCATTCCAACACAGTCACAATCGGCGTTTGGGGAGGACTGGGGATCGCTTCCTCTCTTCCTCCCCCTCTTTCTTCTCCTCTCCTCTCCTCCTCCTCCTCCTCATACTTGTTCTTGCTCCTTCCTTCCTGCTGCGGTCCCCTTCCTCCCCTCCTCCCTCTCATCCTCCGTCTTATCCTCCTCCTCTCCGGATCAGCAGGCAGTTGTTCCAGTTCGCCATTCCATGGCATTGATCGCTGGGTCTGCCCAGGCGCTTTTTTTTAAAATGCCGCATAAAAGGGCCCCGCTCAACCGCGGCGGGCCTGCAGACCGCTCTGCCTGCTGCTGCTGCTGCTGCTGCTCTGCGGCTGCTCTTCCTGCCAGTTCTTTTCCTCTACAGATCTATAGCTCCATAGCCCTATAGGCCTATAGCTTAATAGCCCTATAGTCCTATAGCTCTAAAGCCCTACACCCCTATACCCTACAGACCTATAGGCCTATAGCCCTGTTGCTCTATTACCCTATAGCCCAATGGCCCTATAGCCCATACAGGCCTATAGCCCTACAGCCCTAAAAATAGTATGTTAGCGTTTGTCTCCGGTATCATGTACATGTATATGGTTATGTACATTAAGGTTATGTGTACATGTACATGTATACGCATATGTGTATATATATAGGTATATGTATGTGCACGTATTTGATTATTTTTGTGAACATGTATGTATATGTACATGTATATGTGTATGTACATATGTTCATATACAGGTGGATGTGTTTGTATATGTGTATGGGTTTGTATATGTATATGTTTATGTATACGTACATGGATCTGTATGACTATACGTAGGTGTGTACGTACATGTACATGTACATGTATATATACATATGTTTATGCGAATGTATATGTTTGTGTAACATGCCTATGTATATGCATATGTCTGTGTTTATGTACTTGTAGATGTACGTGTCTATGTATATGTACATGTTTGTGTATATGTATATGTATATGTATATGTATATGTATACATTTATGCAGTTGAATATATATATATGTCTATGTATATGTATAGGTATAGGTATCTGTATATGTATATGCACATCTATATGTATATGTATATGTATATGTAACTGTATATGTATATGTATATGTATATGCATATGTATATGTATATGTCTGTGTATATGTATATGCATATGTATATGTATATTTGTGTATATGTATATTTGTATATTCGTATATACGTATACATTTATATCTATGTAGTTATATATGTATACATGTACATCGGTATATAGGTATACCTGTACATGTATATTTTTTTGCATTGGTACACGTATATGTATATGTATATGCATATGCATATATACATATAACGGCGCACCGGGTCCGGGGGCCCGGGGCCGGGACCCCGACCACAAATGTGGGCCCGGGGGGGCCCGGAGGCTCGTCGGACCGCCGGACGCCGTCCAAGGTCGTTCGCAGGCGGCTTCGGAACGCTCTCCGATGGCTCCAGATGCCTTCCAAGACAACTGTCATGACACCAAGAAGGTCCCAGAAGCCTCCAAGACGCTCCGAGAGGCAGCCCAAGAGAGGCCCAAGAAGCAAAAATCGTGCCATTCCTATGGGAAAGCTTATATTTTTCGCATGTTCGCCTCTTGGGCTTTCACCGCGTCCAAGGCGGCCCAAGAGGCGCCCAAGACGGTCTACGAGGCCTCCGGGAGCGCTCCAAGGCTGCGCACGAGTGGCCCAGGACGGCCCCAAGACGGCCGAAGAGAGCCCCAAGACGAGTTCGAGAGGGGTCCCAGACGGAGAAAGCCAACCTCGAATTCCGAGCTTCCGGCCCAAGAGGCTCCAGGAGGCGCCAAAATGCCGCCAAGAGGCGCCAAAAGGCTCCCAAAAGCACCCCAAGACGTTCCGAGAGGCACCCCAAGAGAGGTCCAAGAAACAAAAATCGTGCCATTCCCATGGGAAAACGTATATTTTTCGCATGTTCGCATCTTGGGCTTTCACCGCGTCCAAGACGGCCCAAGAGGCCTCCAAGACGGCCTAGGAGGCCTCCGGGAGCGCTCCAAGGCTGCGCACGAGTGGCTCAGGACGGCCCCAAGACGGCCCAAGAGAACCCCAAGACGACTTCGAGAGGGGTCCCAGAAGGAGAAAGCCACTCTCGAATTCCGAGCTTCCGGCCCAACATGTCCCAGGAGGCGCCAAAACGCCGCCCAGAGGCGCCAAAAGGCTTCCAAAATCAGCCCAAGACGTTCCGAGAGGCACCCCAAGAGAGGTCCAAGAAACAAAAATCGTGCCATTCCTATGGGAAAACGTATATTTTTCGCATGTTCGCATCTTGGGCTTTCACCGCGTCCAAGACGGCCCAAGAGGCCTCCAAGACCGCCCCAAGACGGCCCAAGAAGCTTCCAAGAGGGCCCCAGGACAGCCCAAGAGGGCCCCAAGACGGCCCAAGAGGCGCCCAAGATGGCCCAAGAGGGCCCCAAGACGGGCCCAAGAGGGGGCCCAGAGGGGGACCACGAACCGCAAGCTCGAGCCTTCCGCCCCAAGAGGCCGCCAGGAGGCCCCAAGGAGGCCCCTCAAGAGGCCCCAGGAGACCCCCAAGAGGCCCAAAGGAGGCCCCGAGAAGCCCCAAATCGGCCCCCAAAATGCTTCGAACCTGCTTCCAGGAGGCCCCCGACAGGTTCAGAGGCTCCCGAGAAGCTACGTCAAACTCCCAGCGAGCGGCCGGACGAGGCCCCCCACAAAATCACAAGAGGGTTCCAGTATTTGTATCCTTCAGCGCTCTCTGGCCTTCTTCCCCCTGCCCCCTTCCCTGCGACTTTCGTTGACTCAAGCTCGCCTCCTAGCTAGAACCTAAGCGCGCGCGAAGCGCGCGCGTGGTTCTAGTGTATATGTATATGTATATGTATATGTATGTGTATGCGTATGTGTATATGTATATGTATATGTTTATGTATAGGTATATGTCTATGTTTATGTTTATGTATATGTATATGTATATGTATAGGTATATGTTTATTGTATATGTATATGTTTGTGTATGTGTATATGTATACGTATTTGTATATGTACATGTACATGTATATGTATATGTACATGTATATGTATACGTATGTGTATATGTATAGGTTATGTGTATATGTATGTATATATACAAATATGTATGTCTATGTCTTTGCATATGTATATGTATATGTATATGTATATTTATATGTATATGTATAGGCACATGTATATGTATACGTATATGTGTATGTGCATGTATATGTATGTGTATATGTATATCTATATATATATGTATATGTATATGTATATGTATATGTATATGTATTTGTGTATGTGTATGTCTATGTATATGTATATGTATATGTTTATGTATATGTATATGTGCATGTATATGTGTATGTATCTGTATATGTATATGTATATGTATACACATATGTATATATGTATATGTTTATGTGCTTACATATATGTATACATGTATATATGCATATATATGTATATACGTATATTTGTATACATGTATATATATATATATGTATATTTGTATATATGTATATATGTATATATGTATATGTATATGTATAAATATATGTATTTGCATATGTATATGTATATGTTTATGTATATGTATATGTATATGTATATGTATATGTATATGTATATGTATATGTATATGTATATGTATATGTATATGTATATGTATATGTATATATATATATGTATATGTATATGTATCTATGTACGTATTGCGAAGGCCTTACGGCCAGTGCCGCTGACCCTTAATGGCGACGACGACGACGACGAGCGCTCTCGGGGGCCTCTTCGGGTTAGTTTGGGGGCCTCTTGGGAAGCTCTGGGGGGCCGCTTGGAAGCCTCGTGGAGGCCTCTTTGGGTCTCTGGGGGCTTCTTGGGGCTTCTTGCGGGGCTTATTAGGGACCTCTGGGGGCCTCCTGAGAGCTTCTCAGGCCGAGGGCTGGACATGTCCGTTCGGGTCCCCCGTCTGGGCTCCTCCTTGGAGCCGTCTTGGGGGCCTCCTCGGCTGTCTTGGAGGCCTCTTGGTCGGTCTTGGGGCCCTCTTGGGTCGTTTTGGGGCTCTCTTGGGGGCCTCTTGGGCGATATTGGGGCGGTCTTGGGGTCTTCTTGGCCTGTCTTGGAGCGTCGGGAAGCTGACGAGGCGAGAATGCCGTAAACTTTCAAAACTCACGGGAAACCGATGATTTTGCTCCTAGGGGCCCTCTTGGGAGTGCCCTTGGAGTGGGAACTTCCGAAGCTGTCTGCTATCGCGACTTGGACCGATACTTCGGAGATTCGGGTCCCTCGAGGACATTCTTGGGGGCCTCTCGGGACACTTTTGCTACGTCTTGGGGATTGTCTGGGCTCCGGAACCGCCCAGAGGGGAGTCGTATCTGACCTGGGACCCCCCCCCCCGGGACACCCCCCGTGACCTGCCCCGGGACCCCCCCCGGGATCTCCCCCCCCCGGCGGGGAAGGAATCAAAGGGAAGGGGCTTCCCCTCGACTCAACTACAGCGCTGCTCAATTTTGCTGTGGCTGGCGCGCCCGAGGAGGAGGGCTCGGTGAAAGTGGAGGCAGCGGCGCCAGGTTCAGGGGAAGGGAGGGGACCGGCGACGGCGACAGCGACGACGACGACAACAACGAAGACGACGACGACGAGGACGAGTCAAACGGAACAGCCTCTTCCACACACGCCGACAGGGCCGGCGGATTTCTCTTTGTGTGTATGCATGTATGTACAGATACACATATCAACGATACTATGCCGGGGTGCGGGGGGCCCTGAAGAAGGACCCTTTTCGTTGGGGAGGGCTCCGCGTTCCTTAAGTGTTTCGCAGCTTGCCTCAGGCTTTCCTTAGGTTTTCGACGGGAAATCGAAGGTTAACTTATGGAACAAAGGGGCCTCGTTCCTTATTTAGGGTTCCTTAGGTCAACGCCCCGACTGTACTGGGAGCCTGGGGCCCAGGCCTGCGCACACTCCCGCATTCCCCCCCTCCTTTTTGTCGCCACGACACGTTCGACCCCCTCCAGGACCGCCCAGGCCGTGTCGTGGGTCGGTGTCCTTTTCAGGCTGCCTGTTGGGGTCTCCTGGGAAGCCTCTCGGGGGCCTCTTGGACGCTGTTCCGATGCGTCCCGTTGGGGCCGTTGGAGCCGTTGGACGATGTTCCTCCTGGCGTCCTCTTGGGGGCCTCGTCGGCGCCTGCTGGCGATCCGAGGAGCAGTTGGAGCCTTGTTGTCTCTGGGCTGCACCAGATTTGACATTCTGGCCGATGTGGTGTGCAGCAACACGCAAGCAACGCGACGAGCACGCACGTGCTTGATGGCCAACATGATAGTTCGACGTGCTCGTCAGTTGTCACATTTGGAATTGTTTTTCAAGAAGATCTCACCACCGCATCGTATGGTTGCCCTTGCCCTTGCCGATGCCAGTCACGCGAGCAGCAAGACATCCTACACCATCGAGGGCCAGCTTGCCATCAAGATGTCTGGCAAACTGCATGGTCTTTTCCATTCTGGGAAGCTGGACGCAGCCGTATCCTGTGGTCAAGCACATCTGATGGTTCATTCAGCCAAGTGCGCGAAACGAATATCACATAGTACGTCGCACGCCGAGGGTCTTTCACAGCATGGTTGTCTTAGGCACTGCGAGCGGATCGCCATGAGGATGACAGCAGAGCTACACGGAGACGCCATTGCTGGATGATCTTATCCAAGCAGACTCTGACGCGTGCTACGAGGTACCCATCGACACGTTGGCCGACCGCCGCGACATGTACGAGTTGCGTACTGGAATGAAGGAGTACTTTAAGATCTCTGGCAAAGACTGATAATTCTCGCGTTGCGCGAGAAGATACTGATTCAAAAGGTGCGCCATAGCGTACGGTGTGACACTAAGAACATGCTCGCTAATTGCCTCACCAAGCACTGGTGAGGCAGAACGCTGGAAACGCTACAGGTGGCCCTCTACCACCCAGGAGATCTTTGAAGATCTCTGCGCGTCTTGGGTTTCACGCGAGCCCAGCATGGATGGAGGAGATGCACCCGTCGACGTCGGGGCTCACGCTTGAAGAGTCGAGTCCCCCCAACCCTCTCCTTCGCCCCCCCCTCTTCCCCTTCCCCCCTTCCCCCCGAAACCCTCCTCCCCCCCCCGTCGCGTCATCCAGCGCCGTGCCCGCCGAGGCGCGCCGGCTGGAGAGGCGCGCTGGCCGCCGCTTGCGCGAGCCGCGCGCGCGCGCGGCAGCGGCGCCTTCCGCCGCGCCATCGGTTGGACGCGCAGAACAATAATAACAACGATAAAACGAAGCAGCGTTTGTTATCGCCGTTGCCTATATTATCGTAGATCTCGTTCTCGTTGTTATCCTTGTTCTCGTTTTTCGGTGGTCGCCGTGGTCGTTGTTTTCGTTGTGCTCGCTGCTGCTGTTGCCATCGTTGCTGTGCTGGTCATCGCTGCTGTCGCTGCTATCGCTGCCCCGGGAGCTTGCAGGGGTCGGGGGTATTCGAGGGGCATCGCTGTTTCTAGGGCTCCCAACTTCGCGCTTCGCGCTGCGCGAAGCGCGAAGCGCGAATAACTTCGCGCTCTCGCGCCGCCCTCCCAAAGGGAGAACAGGAGGACGAGGAGGAGGGGGAGAAGGAACGAGGACCGCGAAGCGCGAAGCGCGAATAACTTCGCGCCCTCGAGGGAGCCCTTGTGTTTGGGGCATCGTCTCAGGGGCGGATGCGTCGACCCCCGAGCGCCCACTGATCGCCCAAGCCCGCCCAGGTCCGTGCGGCTTCGCCCTCGGGGGCCCATCGCCGATCTGTCGCTCAACAGGATCACTGCTTGTGCGCGCCCACTGCGCAGATCACGTCGTCACGGTCCAGGCGCAGGAAGAGGTCTGTCAGCATCGGGCACAGAGCGTGGCTTTGCAGAATGGCTCGAATCTGTCTGCGGCCTCTTGGGCGTGGGGGGGCCCTCTTGGATGCAGGCCCGGGGGGCTCCCGGGGCGCATCTCTGGGGCTTCCGGGGGGCTGCCTCTCGTGAGGTGGATCTCGGGCCACCTCGGCGGCCTCAGCCTTTTTCGGGTAAGGTTGGGCATTCTGCAGGCGGCGGCGAGCGAGGGGGGGAAGCGAGAAGGGGAAGGCCTTCTCAGAAGCCGGCGGGACTTCTCAGAAGCCCTCGCGCCTTCTGACAGGTTCTCTGTGTGTTGGGAAGGCTTAGGCAACTGCGCAGAAGGCTGGGGAACTTCCGAGCTTCCCGAGAAGGTCCACCCCCTCTCGCTTCCCCCTGCCAGTGAAGACTTTTGGGACCACCGCAGAGGCGTTAGGGCGCCCGATGCCATGTGGGGACCCAGGAGGAGGAGGAGGAGGAGGAGGAGGAGGAGGAGGAGGAGGAGGAGGAGGAGGAGGAGGAGGAGGAGGAGGAGGAGGAAGAGGAGGAGGAGGAGGAGGATGAGGAGGAGGAGGAAGAGGAAGAGGAAACAGACGAGGAAGAAGAGGAGGAGAAGGAGGAGGAGGAGGAAGAGGAGGAGTAGAAGGAGGAGGAAATTGCAGAAATCCAGCCATGCCACGTTTGCATCATACCACTTGGGTACGGTCATGGATCCTTTTTGCGGCGCTGCGGGCAGGGCCCAGGTTTGGTCTAGACTTCGTCTCTCGAGTGGAGCCAGGCCAGTGAGTCCATGTTTAGCTGGCGGATGCAAGGACGAGGAATATGCATATTCTGTGCGTCGGAGAAAACAGCATTGCAGGAACGAAGAGGAGTGGGCGCAATTGCCATGCTGACCCCAGGTATCCAGACATTTCTGCCGACATAGATGGCGACGGCGCTGTGGGCTCGACTGACTACTTCATAGCGAAGCAGTTCAGCAACGGGCCCTGTGAGGACATTGTTTACGGGAGAGGGCGCGTCCTTGCTTGAATGTGGATGAGTGCGCGCCTGCGTGCGAGCGTGGGTGCACGCGTGCATCTCCCTGGCAAGCCACCGTTATCACTAGAGCCCTGCACGCTAGGACCCCAGGCCGGGCGACTCCTGGACGTACAGGCGGCATGGCGCCTGTGTGTGATTATCACGTTCAAGCTGGGTTGAGCGTGGATAGTGGGCGTCCGTGCCCCATGCTCCGCGCTTTGACTGACCCTGTACAGTGGAGACCCATGCCAAAAAACACCCTGCTTGCCTTCAGGGTGCCCTGGGTTTCTTGGGTCTCGATGGTTTTGCTATGGAATGCGCGACGTTCCCATGCCAGGAATCGGTGGACGTCCTGGGGGTCTCAGGGTTGGGTTTCTTGTGGAAGGTTTCTTGTGGCCGATCCCCTACTGTACAGACACGGCTCGACCTGGCTGGATGCCCCCGCCGCTTCCGCTCCCGACCCCTCGCTTCCATCCACGCCGCCCTCCTCCGTGGGCTCCGCGGGCCAACTCATGCCCTCACCGCCACAACCCATGCCCGGTTCCGGCAAGCGGGCGTGGACTCTCGCGAGCACGATTCCGCGACCACGCGCTGGCCGACCAAAGAGTGCACGCGTGCGCATGTACTCCAGATTTCAAGACCTCCAAGACAAGCCATTTCAGACCTCCCCCGTGGGAGAACCCTTCAAAACATCGTCCCCAGACCCCCCAGGCCCTCCAAGATAGCCTGGAAGAGACCCCCCCCGAAATGAGACCCCCCTCCCTTTATTACGAAATCTGGAGCACGCGTCTGTCTCATCACGGGGCCCTCCGGGAGCTTCGCTCCTCCCTCCCGGGGGCCCGCGGGCGGGCCCAGAGGCCCGCCCCGACGCCCCCGCGGCTCCGGCTTCCCGAGGGGCTCTCCCGCCGGCAGGGGCTCCCGCGGCACTTCGGCCCCGCTCGCTCCTGCCTCGACTGCGGCCTCCTCCTCCTCCTCCTCCTCCTCTTCCTCCTCCTCCTCCTCCTCCTCCTCCTCCTCCTCTCCTCCTCCTCCTCCTCCTCCTCCTCCTCCTCCTCCTCCTCCTCCTCCTCCTCCTCCTCCCTCCTCCTCCTCCTCCTCCTCCTCCTCCTCCTCCTCCTCCTCCTCTCCTGCCCTCCTCTCCTCCTCCTCCTCCTCCTCCCTCCTCCTCCTCCTCCTCCTCCTCCTCCTCCTCCTCCTCCTCCTCCTCCTCCTCCTCCTCCTCCTCCTCCCCCTCCTCTTTCCTGCCTCGATTGCGGCCAGAACGTGGTGCGAAGGCACAGGGCGCACTCGGGGTCTCTCAGGTGGGGCTGGGGCAAGGACAAGTCCGTTCCAGAGCGTTCCGGAATGCTCTGAGAGGGCCGCGGCGCCCGTTGCATCCTCCAGAGCCGCCGGAGCTCAGAGCTTCTCGACTTATCCTCACCCCAATGTGTCCTCGTCCTGACTTCTGGCTTCGTCTTCGTCTTTGCCACGCACGCCTCCGCGGCCCCCACCAGACTGAGGCCGAGGTCCGAGTTGGCCTCTGGCTCCTCACTCCCCCTCCCCCCTCCCCCTCCCCCTCCTCCTCCTCCTCCTCCTCTCCTGCTCCTCCTCCTCCTCCTCCCTCCTGCTCCTCCTCGTCCTCCTCCTCCTCCTCCTCCTCCTCCTCCTCCTCCTCTCCTCCTCCTCCTCCTCTTCCTCCCCCCCCTCCTCCTCCTCCTCCCTCCTCCTCCTCCTCCTCCTCCTCCTCCTCTCCTCTTTTCCCCCCCCTCCTCCTCCTTCTCCTCCTCCTCCTCCTCCTCCTCCTCCTCCTCCTCCTCCTCCTCCCCTCCTCCTCCCCCTCCTCCCCCCCCTCCCCCTCCCCCAGCCTCTCCACCTGCAACGCCTTTTGACGAAGGCCTCCCCGCGCCGCGGCGAACCACTCGCGGGGCTCCCGCAGGGGCGGGCTCGGCCCCGGCAGCGGGGCCACGACGGCCGCCGCGCGGGCCTCGGGGCCGCGGCGCTGCCCGGGGCATCCACTGCCCCGGCGCCGCTCCTCGGCGCGCGCGTGCGGGCTGGCCCCGGGCCGAGAGCTTTCGTGTGGATCGACGAGCCCCGTGTGGATGGCTCCGGCCCTGGGCCGAGACCTTTCGTGTGGATCGACGAGCTTTCGTGTGGATCTGGCTCCACACAATCATCGACGAGCCCCGCGTGGATGGCCGCCGTGGCAGCCCTGTGCGATCCCTTTGCCTCTGGAGCGCCTGCCCGGCAGCGGCCCGCGCCGGCCCCGGCCGCGACGCCTCCTGGCAGAGCCTCGCCGTGCGGGGCGCCGTCCTGCCTGGCGCGGAGGCGGGCGACCTCGGCGGCGAGTGGCTACGCGCCTGCCCGCCCACTTACCAGCCTGGAGCATATCCCTATCCCTATGCTGGGCATCTCTTCATCACGATGCCAATCTTGGGGATTCCCCTGTTTTTTGGGGGCGCATCCCGAAGATTGTCATCGCCTTTTGGCGTGTCAATCTTAGGGATAGGGATACGTTCGAGGTTGGTAGCCCACTGGCGCGCCGGACGAGCGAGTCACTGTCGGAAGCTGGGCGAGGGCTGGCAAGTCCGTGGCTGCCAAAACGGTCTTCCCGGAAGGAGCCCAAACAAGCTCCCCGAATGAAGCTCAGCGCGCTAAATGGCAACCGGGCTGCTTCCCGGAAGAAACAAACACTTTCCCGGGGCTCCGTGTTAGCAGCCACGGGGTTGCCCGCCTCCGCCCGGCTTCTGACAATGGCCCAGTGCCTGGCAGCTGCGCCACGGCCAGTGCGGGCACCCACCCCAGGCCCCAGGCCCAGCTCCCAGGCCGCGCCGGAACGGCAGCCTCCCCGTGCTGCGGCGGCAGCCAGGGCCTCCGACGACGGCGCGGCTGCCGCGGCAGCACGGGAGCGGGCCGGCGGACATCCGCCCGCCCGCGCGCTTCGGTGCCAGGCCCCGCCGCGGCCTGCTCCCGGGGCCCAGCCCCCTCGGCCCGCTCAAGGGGACACCCCCTGCAGCTCGAGCACCAGTCCCCACCGCCCCCGTGCGGGAGACCTCGGGGAGCTCCCTCCGCCTCGCCCCCCCCCCCCCGCCGTGCTGCTCTGGGGTCCAGCCCCCTCGGCCCAGCCCCCTCGGCCCGCTCCCCCCCCTGCAGCTCGAGCACCAGTCCCCACCGCCCCCGTGCGGGAGACCTCGGGGAGCTCCCTCCGCCTCGCCCCCCGCCCCCGCCGTGCTGCTCTGGGGCCCCGGCGCTCGGGCAGCTCTCGCTCGAGCCCGCCGCCGACCGTGCCTGTCGGGCTCCGCTCTTTTTTCTGCCGAGCACCCGCAGCGTTAAGTCGGGCCTGTCTCCCTACAGGGGGATTTTCGACGAAAAATAAAAATCATCCCAGTGCGATCCTACCTAGGAGTGGGAGCATTCAGGAAAGCAACATCTACATCTACACCGACGCTAAGCTATGCTATGCTATGCTGCGCTATGCGCCTGCTATGCTATGCTATGCTATGCTATGCTATGCTATGCTATGCTATGCTATGCTAGACCCACAAGCAACATCTACATCTACACCGATGCTAAGCAATGCTATGCTTTGCGTTGCTTGTGCTTTGCTTTGCTGTTGCTGCTGTTGCGTTGCCTTTGTTTTGCTGCTATGCTATGCTATGATATGCTATGCTGCGCTATGCTAAGCTATGCTATGCTATGCTTTGCTATGCTGCGCTGTGCTGCGCTATGCTATGCTATGCTATGCTATGCTAGGGTACGCTCGGCTGCGCTGTGTTATGCTAGGCTACGCTATGCTATGCTGCGCTATGCTATGCTATGCTATGCTGCGCTATGCTATGCCATGCTATGTTGCGCTATGCTAGGCTATCCTAGGCTATGCTATGATATGCTATGCTGCGCTATGCTATGCTATGCTATGCTATGCTGCGCTATGCTATGCTATGCTATGCTATGCTGTGCTATGCCATGCTATGCTATGATATGCTAGGCTTGGCTATACGATGCTATGCTATGCTATGTTGCGCTATGTTATGCTACGCTATGCTATGCTATGCTATCCTGAGCTATGCTATGCTATGCTATGCTATGCTATACTATGCTTGGCTATGCTATGCTTGGCTATGCTGTGCTATGCTATGCTGTGCTAATGCTGCGCTGCGCTGAGCTAAGCTAAGGTATGCTATGCTAAGCTAAGCTAAGCAAAGCTGGGCCAGACTAGGCTAAGCAAAGCTAAACTAAGCTAAACTAAGCCAAACTAAGCTAAGCTAAACTAAGCGAATCTGATATAAGCTAAGCAAAGCTAAGCAAAGCTACGCAAAGCTAAGCTAAGCTAGGCTAGGCTAGGCTAAGCTAAGCTAAGCTGAGCTAGGCTAGGCTAGGCTAGGCTAGGCAACACTAAGCTAAACTAAGCTAAGATGGGATAAGTTAAGCTAAGCTTAGCTAAGCTAAGCTTGGTGAACCCAGGGGGCGCAACTGGGGAACCAAGGGGCGGATCCTGGGGGAACCGCCCGGGGCGGGGAGCACTGCCCGGCCCTTTAAGCATACAGGGTAAGAACCTTTCTAGGCAGAGCCTAGGTAGGGAAGTGCCCCCAAAATACACCAAAAATCCCCCTGTAGGGGGACAGGCCCGACTTAACCCCAGCGCGCCCGCCCAACCCGCCGCACCGCCGTGGGCGCCGTGGGCCGCGGCGCCTGCGCCTCCAGCGCGCGGCAGCCGCCTGCCCCCGCGCGCGGCGCCCCCCGCCTCCTCTCGTCGTGGCGGCTCCCACCCGCGCGCGGCCCGAGGAGGCGCGGCCCGCCCCTGGCCCGCTCGCGCCGGCGGGCGGGGGCCTCCCCTCCGGCCCAGCGAGCTCGCCAGAGCACCGCAGAGGCCTGCCGGCGCCGATGGCTCCCAGCCGTGGCAAGGCAATGTGTCCGACGAGGGTGCCCGTCGCCACGGCGCGGGCCACGTTTTGCGGAGGAGCCGCCCTGCCATCTGGTGAGTGTCGCAAGCTTTCGGGAAGCATGTGCGCGGCGCGGAGGCGAGAGCCACCCTTCGAGAAGGAGCCGCCAGAGTTTGGCGCAGCTTCTGGCTCGGCTGGGCCAGGAGTTCGCAGACCGCCGACCTGGCGCAGCAGCCTCTCTGGAAGTGCTCTTCGAAGCGCCGGGCCTCCCCACAGCGGGGCCCTTCCCCCACGCAGCCCGACGCCCAGTGCCAGCCCACGGGCGCACGCGACTCGTCCGCGAGGAGGCCTTTTGGGTTCCGGCGGGCTCCCCGCTGCCCCCCCCTGGGGTGAGTAGGCGCGCGGTCTAGCCTGCGGGCCTCCCCACTCACCAGGCCCTGCCCACCATCCTACCTCCATGACTGCCGTCCGCTTCCCCGCCCGCGTCCCTGCGTGTCGGCTCCATTCCTTGCGTGCCTCTGGGGGCCCTTCGGCCTGAGCCCTCCTGGCCGGGGCGGGCTTCCGCCGTGGCGCCTCGGCCCGCGCGGCGCTCCCCGTGTGCCCGCCCCTCTCGCCCTTCGGGGGCGGGCTGGTGGCTTCCTGGCGTGCGGGGCTGCTTGCCCCTGCGGTGCCGACCCGGCAGCCGCCTCTCTGGATTCTCCTCGCCTGCCTCCGCTCTCCGCTCGCCATGCGGGTCGCCCCGCTGGCAGGCCGCGCCCTCGCCCCGCTGCCGCTCCCACGGAGGGTGGCGACGCCAGCTTTTGCACGGCCTGGGCCTCCCTGTCGGGTCTGCCGGCTTCGCGAGCCGCCTGGGGTGCTCTCCCCGCCACTGCACCGAAGCTGCGAGTCGCGTGGCAGCACCCGCCTTGCTGCATCCTTGTGCTCCTCCCGCCGCTGGCGTCTCCCTCCGCTGGCGGGCCCCTTCTGGCGCCCGTGGGGCCTAGTTGGTGTTGTCCCCCTGCCGCGTGCGCCCTGCTGCCGCCTCCCCTGCCTCTTGACGTCTCCAGCTCGGCAGAGGCTGCGTGCAGGCAGCCGTGGGGCATGGGGTCGGCCTTGCCCGCTGCCGCTGGCCCCGCAGTGCCCGCGTCGACGGTGCCTCCCGGAGGTGCCCCGTCAAGGCCACCTCCGCAGCGGCTCCCTCCTGCCTTCTCCTGCCGCTCTCGCTCCGTCCTTCCCACCCCGCCTGCTGCCGTGTCCGTTGGCCGGCCATCGGGGGCGGGGCCTCTCCAAGGCGCCGAGCGACCGGGCGATCGGCCGGGCAAGAAGCGCTTGCCTGCGTGCGTTTGCGCATGTGCGCTGTGAGCCGGCGTGTGACAGGGCAGAAGTCTGGGCGTCTGCGTGCTCATATACGAGTCGGCGCGCGCGTGCGTGTGCGCGGTCGGTCGCTCGGGTGTGCGGGGTTTGTGTGCCTGTCCTGTGCAGCTGTCTCTTCTATCCTCGTGCTCCTCCTGCGCCTGCTGCTTCTTCTTCTTCTTCTTCTTCTTCTTCTTCTGCTGCTGCTGCTGCTGCTGCTGCTCCTTTCCGTTCTTCGTGCCACCCGTTCATGCCCCCGCGCTCGCTCCCCAGCTCTTTTTTTGTGACGAGCTCCCCACTCCCACATCCCCCCTCGCATTGTGCCACGCGGCGTGCCACGCGCCCTCCTGCCCTTGGCTCATGCTGTGCTCTTGTTTTCCCTCCTGCTCCTCTTCTTCCCGTCCTGCTCGTTTCCAAGTCGCCGTGCTCTCGTGCGCCGACCACCCAGACGGTGCCCAGGTCGTCCGTGCATTCCATGCGCGACCGCACGGTGTCCGTAGCGCTACCGTGTGGAAGCGTTGCGCAAGTGGCCGCAGCAGAGTCGCATGAAGCGGAGACCGACGGAGCGGCACACAATCTACACGGTGGTAAGCAGTGCGATGCGGGCGCGGCAGCCCGCCCCACGTGCGGAGTCCGCTGCTACATGTGTTCCGCATCCCCCGGCCATTCCCTGTTTGCCTCTACGTTTTTTTGGAGGCGTTTCGAGAGGATGTGATCGATGGCAGTGCGAGTTGCAAGGATGTGGTCGATGCAGTGCTTGATCGGATCCAGGTCGCGACTCGTGAGGCAGAGGAGAGAGCAACCACCCCGTGTATTCCCATGAGGAGGTGCATGCGTGCAGAGATGCTGCACCGACGTGGCGCCGACCGGCGTGCGGATGCGACACAGCCAGGGCAGGGCTTCTCTCCAGACCATCTCGCCAGGCCAGATGGCCAGGCGTCGGCGTGTCACCCCGGGGTCCGACTCGTGCCCGGGGCCGATGGCCCCACGTGCCTCATTCAGCTGGACGGCCTCCCGGCCGAGAGTGCGCCCCCGTCCAGCCGTCCGTCCCCCCGGCCGCCGCACGCTCACCTGCGGCTCTCCTCCGTGCGGCTCCGCGCGGAGTGCAGCGGCGCGCCAGGACAAGCTGCGCCTCAGCACGGGCGAGAGGAGGAACGTTGTCGAGGCTGTGTGGGTCGTGTCACATCGGAGTTCTCGGGAGGCAGGCGCATGTGAACCCTGTCTGACGGGTTTGGATGAGTGAGCAGACGCTCGGGGCTCCCGTCTTGAAGGGATGTCTGCGTTATCTGGACACCTCTGGGGGGGAAGCAGGAGGGCCAGGAGGAGGAACGCGATTCGTTGTCGTAGGGCGGCGGCGGAGGTGGTGGTGAGGATGAGGATAATGAGAGGAAGAGAGGATGAGAAGAGGAAGAGGATGATGGAGAGGAGGGAACGTTGAGGAGGAAAAGGAAGTTCAAGTCGCGCGTAGCCACTGACCAACCACCTTCCTCCTATCCCGTCTTTTGCGCTGCCCACCCCACTTCGCACCTTGCGCCATGGCATGGGCCCTTGTCCAGCGACGCGGCTGCAGGCGCGGGCGCCCCGACCAGGAGCCCCTCACGAGCCTCCTCGGGATCGGAGGCTGGCGCAGCCGTGAACAGCTGCCACAGCGCCGCGCGGAGCGGCGCTGCCCCTGCGGCGTTGCCAGCTTCGAAAGCCGCGGGGCGTGCCGCCAGTGCGGCGCGGCCCGCGCCAGGGTCAAGGCGAGCTGCCCGCCCCTGCTGGCGGTTGTCGAAGGCGGCGTGGTCGAAGCCGGGCCGGCCCGGCCAGGCCGCCAGGGGGGCCTGGACCCCGCCCTTGGGGCCCAAGGCAGGGGCCCTCGGCCGACGCGGTGATCCGCAAGGCGCTGGCCGAGGAGTATTCCCAGGCGGCTGCGCTCCTCGCGAGCGCGCCGGCCCTCGGGCCCGAGCCGCGAGGCGAGCCCGACGCCGCCTCGCCCCTCTCTCATCAGGAACTGCGGAGCCCAAGAGGGGGCGGGCATTGCTGGCGGAGCCCGCTGCCCTCTGGCTAGCTGCTGGAGACCTGCCCGTGAGCGCCGCGGACGAGCGCTCCGTCTCCCGCGCGGCGCCCCGCGGCCAGCTAGGGGCGGGGTGCGCGGCGCGCCGCCGTGCCTAGCGCCCTCTGCCGTTTTGCGGGGGGGCGCTGGTGACGCCGCGGAAGGAAGCCAGCGCTGGTTGGCCAGTGGCGCCGGGGCGGGCGCTGGTCTGCTGGCGCGCGCTGTTTGGGAGTTGACAGAGGCGTTGGTCTTGGTGGCGCTTGGCGAGAACAACGCCTGCGGGACCGCGCGCCGCGGGGCTTGCTTGGGGGGATTGGAGGAGGCTGCGCCGGAGTTCTCCCCCTTCGCGAGCTTTTTCTGCTGGCGTCGCTTCCAGTATTACTTCCGGGACATTGGCAGAGACTGCCGCCGCCTTGGCTCGGCTGGTGGCGTTCGCCAGGGGGGCCCGCTGGCGCCCCTCGGCCTTGGCTCCGCGAGCGGCGTCGACTAGGTGGCCCGCTGGCGCCCCTGTAGCCGCCGCCCCCCGTAGCGGGGCCTTGCAGACGCGCCCTCGTCTTGCGGGCAGACGATGTCCGCGTCTCGGCTTACCTGGGCGACGTCGTCGTCCTCGCGCTTTCGGAAAACAAGGTCGATACGATTGCAGAGGCAGCTCTGGGGCCCCTGGGACTCATGCTGCAGCGGCGGAAGACGCGCGCCAGGTCGCCCCTCTCGCCCTGCCCGTCAGGGCTGGAAGACAGCTGGCGCTCCGACGGCGTCGCGCAGCTGCGCGCCCCGCTCGGGGGGCCGCTGCCGCTGTGCAGCGTCCCAGACGAGAGCGGCGGGCGCTGGCTGGGCTTGGGCAGCAGCGCATCTGCCGCGGCGCGCTGCGCCGAGACCGCCGAGAGAGCGGCGGCGCTGTTGGGGAAGTTCGCTCAACTCCCCGCGCAGGCCTCGTCGCGCCCCCCCCGACCTGGGCGGTGGGGCTCCTCCTCCGATACTGCGGCGCGCGCGTTGCCGCCTGCCGCTTCGGCTGGGCGGCCTCGCCTTTACATAATTCGCGGCCAGGAGGAGGTCGCGCCCGCCGCCTGGGCCGCCTCCTGGGCCCCGGGCCCCGGGCCTCGCGGGCGCCCGCGGGCGCGCGGACTCCGCGCGACCCGACAGGTCCCAGTCCCGGCCTGGGATCGCTGGCGCTGGCGCTGCGCCGCGGCTGGCTGCCGCGCGCGCGAGCGGGCTGTGAGCAGCGGGCTGGCTCCAGGTTGGCGCTACTTCGACGGCCCGCCGGGCGGGCCCCGCGGCGCTTGCGGGGGGCCGCTGGAGGCCGAGCGCCAGGAGGCGCTCCTCGACCTCGAGGCGCAGCGCGGCAAGTGCCCGCCCGATGCTCTCTGCTACGTCGATCCGGGGGGCGCGCGCTCCCTCGCCGCTGTTGCGGGGTGCGACGGCGCGGTTGCCGCCGAAGGCGGGGCGGACAGGCGCGGGCGCTATCCCGAATGCTGGGCGCCCTGGCAGGTCCTCCCGCTGGCCCACGAAACAGCCGGCCGGCTGGGCAGGGTCGCGCTGCGGCACCATGCGCTGGCTTGCGCGGTTGCCCGGGACCGCGCCCAGGCGTTGGGGGGCGGGCCAGAGGCCGAGGCGGCCGCGAGCTCGCTGGCCCGCCTTTGGGGCGCGGGGCTGAGCTGCGCGCTGCACCGCGCTACCGCGCAGCAGCTGCGCAACTCGTTCGGCTGGGAGCGTGAAGTCGCGGCCCGCGCCGCGCTGCTGGCCGAGCTCGCTGGCTGGGCGGCGTGGGCGGGGCGCTGGGCGTGAAGAGCAAGTGGGCTACTGAGTCGTCCAGGTCTCGCTCGGCGACAGCGGGGGCGTGTGCGCGGCACCGACTGCGCTCGCACTCGCAGGAGGAGGTGGCGGAGGAGAATGAGGAAACATATTCTGAACATGCTGATGATGCTGATGCCCATTCTGATGATGATAATCATGATGATGCTGATGCTGCTGCTGCTGCTGCTGCTGCTGCTGCTGCTGATGATGATGATGATGATGATGATGATGATGATGATGATGATGATGATGATGATGGTGATGATGATGATGATGATGATGATGATGATGATGATTATGATGATGATGATGATGACGATTATGATGATGCGGATGATGATAATGATCCTGGTGGGGATGATGACTTGGATGATGATGATGGTGTTGATGATGGTGATGCTGGTGAAGATGATCTTGAGGAGGAGGTGGAGGAGGTGGAGGAACAGGAAGAGGAGGAGGGGGAGGGGGAGGAGGGGGAGGAGGAGGAGGAGGAAGAGGAGGAGAGGAGGAGGGGGAGGAGGAGGAGAGGATGAGGAGGAGGAGGAAGCGGAGGAGGAAACGGAGAAGGATAATCAAGATATCCAGGAGGATTTGGAGGGGGGGAGCAGACGGAGTAGGCGGGGGGAGGTGTGATACGGAAGTGATGGGGAAGAGGAATCGGCGGAGTAGGGAGAGGGAGGCGAGGAGTGCCAAGTTTGCTAGCCCCGCTGGAGGCTCTCGAGGGCGGCCTGCTCGACAAGTACTCGTTCGGGCACGATCAGGCGCTCTCCCACCCTTTCTTCTTAAGTTTGGGAATGAGGATGCTGCTGCTGATGGTGATGGTGGTGG